CTCACGTGGTGAGTATGTATTCACTGCCATCTGCAGTCACTGTGTGGCAAAGGTTTGTTAAAAATAAAATATCCATAGATGGTTTCAAAACTGTAAGAAATAAGATATGTTTACCTCTGGTGTGTTTTATGTGTATGTTCCTGAAAGCACTCGTCTCTCCTTCATTCTTTATCCTATTTGAAATTCGGACTAGTATAGCAGCAATTATTCTTCACACAGTGTTACGCTAATTAAAAGCTAATCAAAGTTTAGCACTAATTATGCATGGTTCAGAGTCATTATCACTGTCAAACTGCATAACTTGATAATGACTGTTTTCTCAGTGAATTGTAAAAACAAAGAAAAAGTAAGTGTGAACATCTATCTTTTCACCCGTCTGTCCATTCTTCCATTATCAGTATGTCACTGAGTTCATTTATCCACCCTACATTCATTTTGCACTATTGTAGTCGTTACTATCTGTCTATCCCAATGCACTTGACTTGTTAAAAACCTTATATAAGATGTTATCTGAATGAATTCAACTTTTCTGGGGGGTTAAGTAGGAAAAAAGACTATAAAGTTCAGAATGATTTACATTTTTAGTACATTTTGATTTACATTTTGAGAGCAGACTCTGACATAATAACTTTAACAGCAAATGTTAAATAATATTGCTTGTTTTTTCTAGAACTGCAGCTACTAATAATGATGCATTGTCACTTCTGCAGCATGGACACTGAAACAGGATTGGCCAATAGATTCTACAGTCTATGTGGATGACATGACCTGGGATGATGGTAATGACACATTATGTACACTAAACATTCCCCCAGAAACCATATTTAGAGTGGCAGGTGCAAGTAAAGCTCTTTGAGTGCTCATGTAGAGTAGAAATGCTCTATACAAAAATCAGTCCATTTAAAGTAAATCATGTGTTTGCCTTTATGAACCACCATAGTGCAAAAATACTATCTTATGCCTGTGAAACTGTGTCATCTTTGGCCTTTTTAAAATAGATTCTACTAAAGAAACTGGAAAGAAAATAATGTTTTGTTTTCTTTTTTTACAAGCTGCTAGTAACAAAGTGCCTAAAGCTACAATTTAAAATTAAGTTTTTGCTAAATTTTTTTGTTGTCTGTATCGACACAAGGCGATCTCATCACTTGAGTTGGGTGGTTTTTTTTTTTACTTATTCATAGATTAGTGGTAAATGACAACTGTTACACCCCACTTAAAAACAAAGTATTATCTGGGGTGGGGGTAATTATTAACTGCCACAAAGTCGACGTTGTTAAAACACTGTTTATTTCACAATTTCAAACGAACCAATTAGGCCCAAATAAAACACAGGGAAGCTCTGTGTCAGGTAGGGGTGCAACGATACACAAAATTGA